GAGGCAGGCCTCTAATCCATTTGATTGGCCGTGAAGGGCTCTATACGACTGGTCAAATGTATAAAGGGGTTTCTTTGATTGGTAAATTCTTTAAAGCACGTGTGTAAACATTTTAAGGTACCCAATTATCGCAGTTTACGTCGTCTTTTGCGATGGGCCCATCGCACATGCTGGTATCGCGATGACAATAAATTTTCGATTTATTGTGCAGGCCTAATAGTAACCAATGACCAAATGCAGCAGTAATGTATAAACACAGAGAGTGAAAAGAGATGAGCTTTATTAAAAGCTTTATTAAAAAGAAAACTAAAGAGGGTGTCTGTCTCCCGAATCCAAATTGGGAGCTGGTTCCACTGCAGAGGGCCCAGAAGCTGAAGGCTCTGCTTCCCATTCTACTTTAAAAAAGCAAGCCTGCAGTCTGAGAGCAAAGTCCTCTGTTAAGATGATAAGGTACTATGAGGTCTTTAAGATATTGCGGGGCCTGATTACTCAAGATTTTGTATGTAAGAAGAAAAAGTTTGATTCAATTCTGGATTCGACAGGAAGCCAATGAAGAGAAGCCAATATGGGAGAAATATGCTCTCTCTTTCCAGTCCCTCTCAGGACTCTTGCTGCCAGTGGCGTGTCCAGCGGGGTGGCCTGGGGGGGCACAGGCCACCTCCCCAACCAGACTGGCCACCCCAGGTGCCACCCCAAAGGTAAAACAATAAAATTCAATCAAATATCAAATGTCCGATTATGTTTTCACGGTGAAGCTCAGATATCCGAGTGTAAGTGAATGCAGCATCGGCTTCTGCGCTATGTGCATCACGTTAGCAAAGGTAGGAGAGCCAAGCACGAAAGACGGCACCGCAGGAAACAATTTTTCAGTGAAAGAAAATGAGGACAGAATAAATGTCCCGGTAAGTAATATTGAGTTTGTTGAGTTTAGTAAACTTCGGTGAAATTAGAATCCCAAAGAAAAAATAACAGTTAAAGAATTATTGCAGCCATCGAATATATCAGACAGTATGCTACTGAGGGGAGCTAACATAAGAGTTATGAGTTATAAGATATAATCTAAGTCGTAACATTGCTGTATGGAGCTGCAGATTTGGTTGCAGGTTAACATAGCTGGACTGGCCATCGGGCATACCGGGCATGTGCCCGGTGACTTATTTATTTATTTTGTAATGGTATGAACAATGAGAGGTGGTGGATTGGCCAGATGCAGGTCGATGTGTAAAAATAACTCAGTTGTTTGGTGGTGGCTATGGCGGGGCTTCCACAGAGGCCAGCAGGCGGATGAGGGAAGGGGAGGCAGGAGGAGAGCCCCGAGGCATCCGCCAGTCCGAGTGTCAGGTGAACTGAACTTCAGGTAAGAAGTTATGACCTGCAGTCTCTCTGGGTCAGATATGAACCAAGTTTAGGTGGAGTTTATTTTCATTGTGCTGACTTTTTACAGTCCTAGTACTGCGTACTAGCTAGCATGACGGAGTTTCTACACAAAGGGGGGCACAAAGAAATACTTTTCTTTCTTATTTTCATTTAAATATCTAGCTTTTATTAAATAATTATCTAAATCTTACAACCAAAGTTTTTATCTGATGTAAAATGTATAGAAATCATACATATACCAACAAGACAGTGTACATCACTGTCACAACAGCATTTGTTTTCAGTCAAAGGCTTTATGGCTTTAATACCTGGTGGGCCGGTCTCTAGTCAAAATGCCAGATTTTCTGTCCCGGTCCAGCCCTGCAGGTTATACTGGCAGTGTCACCATGCCAGCTGACTGTATTTCATCATCAGCCAGTGTTGTTCTTTATCAATATTACCAAAGTTTACCATAAGGCAGCATAAAAAGTATTTACTTGCTTTCAGGTTTTATTCAAATGTTAGTCTTTTCAGTTGTTTCCCCACTTTTTTCCTGTTTCAAAATCAAACACCAGTTTGTGAGAAGATTATCTTCTTTTTTTAAATAGGCAGATAAAATTTTACATTGGCATTGGCTAATTTGTCAATTGTTTGTTACAAATGTTCGTATTTTAATATTAAAAAATGTTTTTGCCCAAAACATATGTGCACTACATGTCAGTAAAAATACTATGCAAATATTGCTGTCCTTGATTGCTGAGTAAACACTGACAAAGCACTGATTGTATCTCTTGTACTTTATCAACGCAGTATCTAAAAACTTTGCACCGTAGTGGTTAAAATCTCATTCTAATAAGAGTTAAAAGCGCATTCGGTTATTAGGTTTATAGGGTTATTGAATTATGGTTAATGGTTGGTAGAATTTTTTTTAAACATTATCTGCCACCCTTCTCCAAATCTGTGCCCCTACCTGGCCCCCCCAACAAAAATTTTCTAGACACGCCACTCCTTGCTGCAGCACTCTTGAGCAACTCGAGGCTTTTCAGAAAGCTTTTAAAGCGGTCTGATAATAACGAGTCACAATAGTCCAACCTCAAAGTAATAAATGCAGAGTTACAGTTTCAGCATCACTCCAAGTCAAGATGTTTCTAATTTTAGTGATATTGTACTGATAAATGAAATCAGTTCTACATATTTGCTTAAGGTGCACAAATGGTAAAAAACGACAAACATGAATCTGTGATTGGCTGCAAACTGGACACATTTGAAGCTGTGGTGGTAAGAAGGTCAGAGGACAAACTATTCTCCATCCTCTGAAAAACATGCTGAGAACCTTCTCAAACAGAAACATCTTTTATTGTTTACTGTGATGTTGTAAACTTTTTTGTTGTGTTTGAGAAAAGAGAATATTTTATTGCATAAAACAGTGCTGATCGCATTTTTCAAACATCTGCTTTGGCAGCTGACTGTGGGGCTCGGTACACCCGGCTTGGCGTGGAAAAACAGAGTCTGAGACTCCAGCTTCTCTCTAGTCTGATGACTCAAACAGGCTCTCCCCCACTCTGTCATTTAAACAGTGCTTTACAAACCTGAACATTGGAGCTTACAGCTGGATTTTCCTGTTTCAGTGCAGCTGAGACAGGAGACAGACAGTGAAAGTGGACGGTACACCCTCGGTTTAACACAAAAACTCATTGTTGCAGGCAGGGGCAGCACAAAAGTGACCCCTTAAACTGATTTTTATTCCAAGTCCCCCTGTTTTCCCCTGAGTTATTGGTCCTGTTACTATGCCTGTGAAGGTTCTCAGTCAGTCAAGGAGCTTGGAAAGAGAAGTGTCTGGACTTCTTTAAGTTTCCTTATTGATCCTCTACCTCGTGTGATTAGGTAGAGGATCAATAGGGGGTCCATGACCCTCTTGGGGACACTCCCATAGGGATTAAAATCTGGGACTCGCCACCAATTGCTCTTAGAACTGAAGAAGCTTCTCCACTGACAGGTGAAACGTCTTTAAGGAAATTTAAAGAGGTCCAGACGCTTTTCTTTCCAAGCTCCTTAGACGGTTCTGTTACTAGCTAGACTTACATTAGTTTATTTTAGCTATTAACCACAACCAACCAATGGTGTCACGTTCTGTACTGAGAGAAGATGGCGCTACACATTTTTTAGCACTTATTTCTTAAATCCAGCTTCACAGAGTTACATTCATGGCTGTTTTTGAGAGCAAGGCTCCATCATGTAAATGAGTCTTTACACATGAAGTGTTTCAGGTCCACTTTAAGCATAATTAAGTACCAAAGAGTGCAAAGCCACTTACCTCAGTGTTACTGGATGTAAGAGAACATATGAAAGTTGCATGTATACTTAAGTGATGATAATAACGTGCATTTACCTTCCTTCATTTCAGTATCCATAAGAGATGAATTTGTCCACTATAATCAAAAGGATACAATGCTTTATGGTGAACTGAGTATACTGTGTATTCATTGCTCCCGAACTTTACCCGTTATTTGCAGGGATTTAATTTCTATTATTGTGGCCCCATCCCTAGGGACTGTAACGGTATAACCCTAACCCAATATTCCAATCATGTATCTATCTATCTATCTATCTACTTAGCACTTTTAATTCTTATTCTCATTTTTATTTTCATGTCCATCTAAGCTTAATTTATAACAGTATTTATAACAGTATGTTTGCACTGAAGCACCGCAGCAATTTCCTAATGTTGTAAACCCGCTCAACATTTGGCAATAAAACCCTTTCTGATTCTGATTCTGACTCCACTACATTCATGTCACAATTTTAATTAATTAATTTACAAAATTAAGACACAGAAAAGATCTTACATCTCCAATAAGCTACTTTTCTTTTTAATTATTTTACTAATTTGGAAGTTAATTTTGATGTTCATTTGAGCTCAGATGTTTATTTTAGAAAACAAATCAACATTGATTATAATTATAATCAGCAGATCAGTTCGTGACAGAAGTACTCACTGACTACATCAGTCAAATACAGCTTTGATATTAGGAGAATGCAAGAGTTATCAACATGTAATGTTTAACACAGACTGCTCTCTCAACTGAATTCTCCTGATATATTACCTCAACTGTGAGTTACATGAATTCACACAGCCTAGTAATTAAAAACGTAAACAGTAAGTAAGTTAATGCAACTCGAACTGGATTTCCTTATTCGGTTAACACTGGTTTAGTGCTTGGCGGTGACCAGCACGTGTGAGGCAGACACTGACAGTGTATAATACACTGTAATAGTGCAGGGTGTGTGAGTGTTATTTTCTGACTTGGGCCAACCCGAGTTGGTTGGGCGACCAGACCAGTTCAGAAAGTCTGGATCAGACCCGACAGACTGCTTTGCGCACATTCTCGTGGGATTACTTGCATTTTTTTTCACTTACGTGACATTTTCAATACAAAAATCAGAGATGTAAAGGTCTATTTCACGACATTGGTGCTTTTACATGACCTCTTCCACCACTCGTATGGGAACAGTCCCAAAGCTCGAGCAGTCGTGCCAAATAAAAACAGAACTATTTCTGCTAGTCTAAGCTGAGTAAGATAAGAAACATACGAAACTAAACATAAACTCAGCTAAATTTACGTTTAAGTGTGCCATGTTCTTACCTTCCGAGCTCTCTGCCGGGAATAACAGTGTAGTGGTCGGCGAAAGGTTCGTTGTGGATGGCGGTTTGGATTTCGGACAACAAGCCGCTGACACTGCGGCTCTGGCTCGGTCCAGCTGCGTGGTTGTGATGAAGGCGGCTTCTGCTTCTCGAGTCCCCGGCAAGCGGGCATTCGGGGATCATGGCGTCGATTAATTGGACCGGTTAGTTGGCTAACGTTAAACACTTCAAACAACGGTCAGCACAATTACATTAAATGACGCCGCTTACTATTCTCCGAACGACAACAGAAACCAAACAAAACCCAAAACATTAGGGCGACAGAATAATGTCACGTCTTCTAGGCCAAGCTTCAAATTATTAGCTCAGTCTAACATTGTAATAAAAACACAGCTGGAGAGCTCATTTTGATCACTCCACACTCAGCGTCCTGCCTGTCAGTCCCTCAACTTGCTCCTCACTTAGAAGCTGAACCGGTGCTGCGTTTTCTGTAACCATGGTAGCACGTGTTGATTGACAGGCGTGCCTGCCAATCGGAATGGGTTACAGAGAGAGAGGGGGAGAGACTTCTGTGTTGATCGGCGAATTAAAAATTAAACGTGAAATATATAGCGGGACCAGTTTTCACGTCCCTTTTAATATAAAAAAATGCATACAATGTATACATTTCTATTGCTTTTAATAATAAATATTGATAGAACTGTAAGTCTCTTAAAAAGCAACACAAATGATATGTAAACTACAAAGAACAAAAGCAACAGAAAAGCTAACTTAACAAAAGAGAAATAAAGGCACGCAAGTAATTACACAAAGAAACAAAACATGTAGAAAGAGACGAAGAAGATTAGAAAGAGAAACAAAGCATCTACAGAGGAAGGCTCAGGAAGCAGAGTGGATGGTTGGTGGTGGTCCTTGGCTAAGATACTGAATGATACACTCATCAGAGTGTGAATGTGTGTGAACGTTATACAGAAAGCCCTTAGATATAGAAAACTGTTTATGTTGTATAAAATGCTTTTTGAGTATTCAAGTAGAAAAGTACTTTATAAGAACCAGTCCAGTTTTTATGTTGAGTGGGGAACTTCCAGGTGGGTTTTAGGTCTCATATCCAATACCTTCTTACCTGTATTCAGGGCACACATGAATTTGAGGACTATCTCTACTTAATATGTAATATAAGGCTTATAAAAAATAAAAACCTTTTATCAAAGATCGACAGTGAACCTTTTCATTTTTCACCCCTTTGTCTGTAGAATGAATACACATAGCAGTAACAAAGTGACCATTTTATTAAGATCCATATGGTAAGGTGGGGCAATAGAACAGCCTGAGTATTTAGAAACCTGTTCTCAGTCAAATATGAACTTTAACATTATGTACATACATGTATAGTAACCACACATGAAACTGGAAACAAAAGAAAATATCCATGTTTTAGTGTCACCACCTGGTCTTCTCCTGTCTACTTCTGATTAATTCAAACACACACACACACACACACACACACACGCACGCACGCACGCACGCACGCACGCACGCACACACACACACACACACACGCACACACACACACAAAACAGCAGCAACAATTTTCCACCACCTTCCCTGTCAGTAGACAGCCCATCATCATTTACTTTTCCAATATTCTGTTTAAACTTGTATAGCTTCTATCAGCACATTTACAGATAAGTGTTACTGGAACATTTATAATCATTCCTTTCCCACAATAAATATCAGTGTTATGATGTATGCATTCATCATATCAACCCAACAAAAACAACAAATCAGTAAGCTCTCTTTATATGTTCACCAAAGCACATACAAAAATCATTAACTGCCCAAAGAATAGAGTGCTTCCTGGATTCATGTGGCTCTAACAGAGTGAGCCACAGCTGACATTAACCTCAATAATGCCACCAGCAAAAGTGGTGAACAGAAAAAGAGGAGCCAAATGGGAACAAACATCACAGTTTCCCCGCAGAAAACCAAAAAAAATCAGCCAGCTTATTTTAGAATAGAAAAGACACAAATAAGAACCCAAAGGCTTCAAATTCAAAGGCAAAATCTTCCACTGATCCTCCTAATTACATGATTACAAAATAAAATAGAAAGAAAACATTCAAGGAAAGTTTCAGGACTTCCCCTTGCTTATAAATACAATACTGTATAAATAAGAGTACAAACGATTGTAGAAAAAGGATGAGGAGAGCAACTAAATCACAGCCTTGTCCTTGTGTGTGTTGGGATGTGTGGACAAGATGTTGCCACACCAAACAAAAACTGGAGTAATTATCGATCTGACTCACAGAAGTGTGGGTAATCTCCAAAAATCTCAAATTTGTGTCAAAGTTCTTTGGATTCTTCTTTAGTGGAACCTATCACTGCAGTTTTTCTCCTCTATACGGAAGCGAATTCATGACAGTATTTTAAATGAAAATAAAAAAAGTGAAATTCTGGAGATATAGTCAGCTTTTCAAACATCACACCATGTTGGGAATAAAGAAGCCTAAAATTTGACAGGCCGCTGAAGTCAGGGATCTTTGCTATGTGTCAAACTTTGACATGTAGTTGATTTGTGAGTAACAACAGTGTTGACCCAGGGTGAGTTTGGCTACAAGTTCAGCATTCTGTGATATCTGGGCCATATCTGATTCACACCACATTTGCTGGCACCACAGCTGAGCCTTAAACTCTTCCACCAAGTCACTGGTGACACATTGGGGGTTAGGGTTAGGCTTGGGTTGAGTTTGAGCTGCATGCTAAATAGGCAAAAAGTCAGACACTAGCAGATGACACGTTTTCAATGAAGTCACATAGTTTTGGCATTACAATCATTCTGGGTGTTCTAAGCAAGCACAAACTGTACAAAAAGGGGCGCATGTTAACCAACCCTAACTCTAACCCTAGATTGGCTGTCAGTGACCCGACAGCCCAAATTAGCCCCAAATGTGATACCTGGAAAGTGATTTCAGCCAACTCATCTCACACACGTCTACTTGAGTTGCTGATGGTTCATGAAGGTGAAAAGTTCCGCTGTGGTGAAAATCTTTCACACGATAAGATGTGGACAATTGACACACACATCAGTCCTACTCTGGACCAGAAGGTGGATTCTATCCCAGCATGCTTTGGGTGGACGATAGAGAAGCACAGTAAGACAATGTAGAGTGGCAACAATGACAAAAAAAAATATATCTTGCTTTAAATACCTACATCTGCACACAGCAGGACACAGACCAGTGAGGGCCAGGTTAGGGAAAGATTGTCACTGGGTAAGGGTATGGTGGGGATTAGGCAATTAAGTAACGACAGATTGCATTTTATTAACCCTAAACACAAACATTAAACAGAAATTCTTATTTCCTATGTCAAAGTTTGATGCTCTGTACCCATAAACCCAGTCTAGACATAAACCAACGTCTGCTGCTTACACTGCAAATCTGACTAAACTAACAATGTGATTGAATATATTTTTATGTATACTTTACCACCACCCTCTGGTGGCTATCCACCTAAAGCTTTTTGGAAACCGGCCTGACTGAGTTGCACCAACTCTTCATTTAGTTAGGTAAACTGGTTTTGAAGAATGACAGATTTTTGTCCAAAAAATTCCAGTGGATAATGACAGAAATATTTTCTTGGTTAAGAAAAACACAAGTCAAGTCAAGAACACTCTCACGGAGGTAGCTGTACCATTGTCAAAAGCCGCAAGTAAGTGACGACTTAATGTCTTTACACGGACACTGTGTATAATTTAAATAAATATTCTGAGAAGTGAAGATATGCAGAGGTTCACCAATCTGCAAAAAAAGCACATTTACAAACTGTGGAACAGTTTAAGACCAGCGTTCCTCAGCGTAACATTATGAAGACGCTCAATATCTCATCAAGAGTACACAATATCATCAAAAGACTCTGAGCACCTAGAGAAATCTCTGTTTGCAAGGGTCAAAATCAATATTGGATGCCTGTGTTCATGAGTTAAAAACAATCCTTATGCTGGAAATTACTTGAGTTTGTCCAGTTCTTTGGGGAATTCATATAGGGCGCTCAGGTAGACTAATAGGGACTGTATTCCTAAACACTCTGTTGCTCCATTTTCTCTGTATCCATGCAATTTAAGTATGTGCTGCCTTCTCATTTATTTATTTTTGCATATTTGTCACACGACAGGTTCCAGATCATCAAGCAAATGTTAGACAAAGACAGCCTGAGTAAATACAAGTTGCACTCTTTAAAGTATGATTTGATTTGCTAAGGTAAGAAAGACAGCCAAACCTACCTGCTCACATAGGAACAGGCGTTGCTATTTAGCTAACATTTATCGACATGCTCACACGGATGCATCAGGGACAAATTGGGGTTCAGTATCTTGTCCGAGGATACTCCCACATGCAGACCGGAGGAGCACGGGATCGAACGTCTAACTGCTAGATGACCCGCTCTACTTCTTGAGCCACAGCAACACGTTCTCACTCCACAGCCACCCCTAAATCTGCCAAGTATTAGTATTATGTTTGTGCTTTGAAAACTGTTGTGTACCTTCTATGCTTAAAATAAAAATAATGGCTTTTAAACCTTATTTTGGGGCAAAGTTGTCAGACCTTTTAAACTTTTTTTGCATTCACAGCTCTTTACCCAATTATTTTAAACGGCCTTGGATGATTCCAAATAACTCCCAGGAGAATTCCCAAAATGCCTGCCAGGTAGTAGGAAGTGAATTTAAAGACTTTCATGTTAGCTTTTTCTTTTTAAGCTGTTGGTTTTGTTGCTTTGTTCACTTAGCTGTATGCCAGTTACACATGGTGGTTAGTGGGTATAAATATTTAGTAACAACTAATCTCTGTGCAGAAACTGTCATTGTGCTGCAACCAGTTGTAGTTTCATCTTGCATAAAGTGCCACTTAGCAAACACAGGGCTAAGTTTGAATTCATGAACAGCTGGTGCAACTGGCTTCAGTATGAACTATAGATTCACAAAAACCTGAACAATTAATCCCAACACTTAGAAGCAGAACAAGAGATCTCATCTTTCTCATTGCACACAGTTGTCTTCCCTGCAAACACCTAGCATTTGTTAGGTATGTAACAATTCTCTAAAAGCACAGTTTGGTTCAAACCTTGAATTGTCTTTAGAGGGGAGCAATAATAAAAATCAGAGACAAACATTCTTTAATCAGAAGTGGATCAAACAAAAACTACACTCCATGATTCAGAAGTGTTTCCAGTTCATTCGTTAACTGAACTGTTCCACCACTGGAGTCGTCGGCTTTAACTGGGAATTAATAAAGTTTACAAAAAAAATTTCCGGGAGATGTAAATGGACTACAATATTGTGCACGTCGTGATGTCAGTCATGGGTTTCAGAAACATTCAGAAACCTGGTGCTTTGACCACTGACAGCAAGGTTGGAGATTTGTGTCTAGCCTGCGACAAACATACGCAACTCCACAAGAAAGCATTTTTGCCAACTTTTCTCAAGTTTTATGAACATTGTAGCTGTACTTGAAATGGTAAAACACACTTTGATGTGTAAGCCATTAGTTCTCTGTTAGCCTTACAACTCATTCAACAGTTAGGTTGACAAAAGCCTACAGCTTGGGAAGAGTAGCTACAAGTGTATCTGTCAAATCCGGCGAAAATGTGTCAGATTTCCAGCCAGCTTTGATGCCTCCTGGTTCTGTTTATATTTGGCATTGCTTATATCAGGCTAGTTATCTGCCCACAAAGCTACATCCATTGTAAATACAGTAATCAGTGACTATTACCAATTAACCTGACTTAAAAAAACCCCAAGGCAAATGACTTTCCTTTTGTCAGTACTACCCCCACAGGGCATGTATGAGGCAGAAAGTAACTGAGGCACAGCTTCATCACTCAGCTAGAGATGCAGGCAAGGGGCTGGAGATGTCAAGGGTGCACTGCAGTCAGTCAGTGTCTAAAAGAATATGGCAGACTGTGGAACAGATTGGAGTAAAGGTCTCAACTATTGCATATGTTACACCTGTTTGTCCCTTTACACATCACACATTTCTACCAGTAGGGCCACATCAGTTCAGGGATCTGTTACATTGGTCTGAGGCCATTGGAGATTCCACACGCTGCTCTTGCACTGGTCACTGTGTTTGAGACAGCAAAGAGTTAAATACTGGAGTACCGGCTCCATACAAAGAGCGGCACCAATGGTGCATGGTCAGAGATGACAACTTCGTTTGTGGAAGACTCGAACAAGAGTGTGAGAAGCTCCCATTCAAACAGCCAGACCACAGGCTGAAAGCAGAATCCCACTTTAGTCCTCCTTAGCCATCTGGAGAGCGTCCAAGTATAAATTCTGTCGTGAAGAGTCACGAATCACGGAGCTCACGTAGCTTGGTTTGACGTAATCGCCCTTAGTCTCCACAAAAGGAATCCCAGAAGCCCTTGTGCTGGAATTGATGGCTGCTTTTGCATTCGCAATACTTGACATCATTGCCTCATCACTGAGCTCTATGCAACATAGAGTGTCTGTGGAGTGTCTGTGTCCAGTTGTTGTCATCACTTTAAAGGGAGGCACAGTACCGGAAGCTGTGGGCGCAGATGCAGGACTTCCAGGATGAGTATCAGAAGCATGTTAGTACTGCGGAGTCTTTAATTGCAGGGAGGGCCTGTCTTTTTATGCGAGTACAGCCTGGATGCTGTGAATGTATATTTCTTGATTTCCAGTGTACCAGACTACACTTCACATTGCTTGAAACAGAAACTTCACTGCTTTGTGGCTTGCCCATTATTGACATTCATTTCATTTCCAGATGTTCAGTAGTTTCTGAGTTTCTGAGCATGTGTTATTCACCTTGTCTTCAGTGCAGTTTTCTTTACCTGTTGGGAGTTTTTTGAGTGATAATCAGTCTTTCTCTCTTAATTGTCTGCAGCTCGTCATATATTTGCCTTAACCTCTTATTTCCCATTGTGCTGCAGTTCTGTTAAGTCCTCAGGCAAGTTCCTTTTGGGCTGCTGCAGTCCAGACAGATACATATTGGTATTTGTAGTATCTCCACTAAAAAAAACAACAACAAAAAACCCAGACAATTGTTCCTTTGGCTTCAGGGCTACTAAACTTTGCATTAAACTGATTGAGGTGTTTTTCTCTTGAATTTAAACTTGCATTAGACATTCTACATGTCCACAGCAGGAAACCACCTGAGGATTTGTGTAACAATCTTTGCATACATCTTTTGATAAAAAGAAGATTTCTGGATCAAAGTTTGCAATGACTGTAACATTTTTTAGAGTAACTAATAGTATTTAATTCTATTAACGGTTTTAACCCATTTCTTTCATTTCTCTTTCCGATTTTCTTTCTACAGTAGGTTGTGATGGTTATTAAATTATTATTTAAATATTTTCTGTCTATTAAAGATAACTTCCAGCATGTCTCCAAGCACATTGCTGTTGTTATTGTCATATGGAAAATTACTGTTTTCAGTGTTACTGTGTTGCTCATATTGTTCTTATTTCTGTACATTACTTTTCACCTGTTGCTGTACTGAGTATAAACACTTTGCTTTTGCTTTTATTAGCCAAAGCATTTTCATTGTCGGATGAATTGTGGTACATGCAACAAAAGTTTTTGATTCGATTTGACAGACTCATTCTTCAGGTACACACAGACTGATCAATATTAATTATAAAAAAGTCTTTGTAATTGTTTCTTATTTTCTAATGATTTATAGAAAAATAAGTGCTGTGACGCCGTGAGTGTTGCGTGCAATTGTAAAGATCCTCATGAGTGACAGACTCTGACGCACAGAACCGTAACAGTGACAAACATACTGTGTATCCAACATGATCAGAAACATTTCCAGTACAATTCCGGGATCTTTAAGACAGGTTAGGCTGCGCTCCTTTCACATTTTGGCCCAGCCAGTGTTGGACATAGAGGCGTGCAGTGTTTGATTTGTCTGTCTCACTCCAGACCAAATGTGCTGGTTTCTTCCACAGCAATGAGCAGTTTCTCATACAGCATGGTGTACGAAGGGTAGGGAGGCAGGTCGAGGCGGTTAAAGCAGGTGTGAGCTCTGAGAAATGAGAGAGAGAAAGAGACAGACATTTTAAACAAAATGGAGCTTGTCTTTTATCCACTTTAACAAGTACATTCCATAAATAGAGCTGAGAGCCAGAATATACAAGAGGTAGACAAGCAGACGAGCATGCTCATTAGCCTCCTTTTCAGCTGGGCTGGTCCCAACAGTCTCTAAATTAAACCCACTTTAATAGACAAGATGATGTACAAATACTACGTGTGAATAAAGGAGTTATTTGAAACAGATTAAATGTTGGTGTGGCAGTTTGCATTGTGCATAACACTGCACACACATACAGGTGTTAGCTAGCAGACTAGCTTTGCTAGCGATGCTAGCAGCAGCAGCCCGTTTTCCTTGCAGGCTAAAATCCATAAACCCATGCAGAATGTGGTTACTACAGTCAAGAGGTTACATGTCATTAGGGCGACCGTGGTTCAGGGGGTTGGGAAGCTCATCTTGTAACCGGAAGGTTGCCGGTTTGATCCCCAGCTCTGTTCGTCTTGGTCGTTTTGTCCTTTGGCAAGACACTTCACCTACTGCCTACTGGTGATGGCCAGAGGGGCCGATGGTGCGATATGGCAGCCTCCATTCTGTCAGTCTACAACTGTAGCTGCCTCCACCAGTGTGTGAATGTGAGAGTGAATGAATAGTGGTATTGTAAAGCGCTTTGAGGGTCTTGAAAAGTGCTATATAAACACAATCCATTAATATTATGTCAGATTCATCTGAAATGGCTGACACGTCCCACAGAGATGTGGTGCTATCTGCAAGGTAAAAATCTCTGGCTAGCTGGGGGTGACCATGTAAATTACAGAACAAACAGTCAATGTTAAAATACTTAAACGTCTGAATCTGAAATCTGAATGTGTCAGCTTCGTGTCTGATCAGTTTTCTATAAAAGACGGATGAGGCCGTCCAAAAAGATCAGCCCTAGAAATGCTTATGTGCCATTTACAGATAACACATTATTATTCTGTCTTATCCTGTCCACCTCCCCTCATTTCCACCTGTTGCAACACATGTATGTCTCTCCCTGAGCCTGGTTCTGCTGGAAGTTTCTTTCTCTTTCTGTGTTGCTGAGTTCTTGCCCACAGGTTTGATTGTTGGAGTTTTCTCTCTGTTATCGTAAGGTCTTTACTTTACAATATAAAGTGCCTTGAGGCAGCACGTCTTGTGTTTTGACGTCATATAAATTCAGTAGAACTGAACTGAATTATCAGCGCAGTGCAGGCAGTACCATGAACATTGATAGCCACATACAAAATGAGTCTTTTGGAGTTACACAGCTGATTTAAAAACAGGACTGTTCTGAAGAACATCTTCTGCATTACTGCCACCTACTGGATTGCTCAAAGTTGTAATGCCCAGATTAATGTAACATTCAATAAGCCAGTGACTGTTGACTGATATATTAACTGGTCTGGAGCAGTGAAATGTGTAGCTGGTGTAGCTGCATCAAAAATAACACGTAAAAACACTTTTACATGACAAGATTGACTGCCTAATAGTTAAAGCTATTTAGATGTAGTGGAAAGACAGACAACTAATGGTGCAGAGGAATCTTTTAGTTCCTTGAAAGAAAGTTCCTGTGTCCTTTCAGTGCAAATACTACTACGGTGACCTACGTCGGAAGTGATTTTGAAAAACTTAGGAGGCTGTCAATTTGAAGTATCCCACGTCTGAAAAAGGCTGGACACAGTCCCATACACACCATGTCCACACTTCCTATTATTAGCTGAACAACAGAACGATGTGAGTGCTCCAGGCAAGCATCAAACACTGGCACCTTTTCCCTCCTTTGCAGTAAAACCTGACTCTTGCATACTTTCTGCTGAGCACTGCTTGTTTATCAAATTAACATCTGACTCCAAGGTCGGAGAACAATTTCTCATCTAGCTGCACTGCAGAGGTGGGAGAGCCAAACAGCCTCTCTGCTGATCAATGTCAACACATTTGAACTGTATATCCTGTATACAGTGCCTCAACAAAATAATACACAGCTGCAGTCAATCAAAGTCCAGGTACTTTGAGATGGCAGACAGTTTTACTGCAGCTTTGATGTCAAGGGAACAACCTTCATGACCTCAGGTGACTTTATTACACCCAAAATCATGTAAGGCAATCGGTATTTACAGATACTGACATCAATTACAAACATGTTGTTTACATGTGTTGGATTTCAGCAATACGTTAATAATGAAAACACAAGACACTGGACAAATGTTACGGTAATATAAAAGATGCACACTATGTTGAGATGTAACCAGCTCTTTGTAATTCACACCATCTACTTCATCCCCCACTCACATATCTGCACTGAAATGTAGTAAACCTCAGAGATGGTCAGGCTCTGGCAAGATAATTACATGGAGGAGTTAAATGACTGTTTTCCATCTACAGACTGGGATGTCTTTCAACAAGATGATGACATGGTAGAGGCGTTTACAGGGTATATTCACTTGTGTGCTGACACTGTGTGTCAGAAATATTCATTACTATCCAACTATATCCAAACAACAACCAGCACAACTCCCGAATTAAAACAATGCATTAGAATAAGCTTTCCAAAAGAATGGGAAATGGAGCTGAAAGCAGTTTAAAAAGACCTCAAAGGAAAATTACCAAAAAAGCATCACTGACGAATCAGAGAAGACTTCTCAAGAAAGAAGTCAGAAATACCGCATGTTGTAAATGAACTGGTCCTATGACAGCGTACTGGAGAAATGTGTCTATCTGTTAGTTGAACCTCAGATTCAAGAGGAACAACGCAGTTCCTTATCCTGGTCGTGGAACAACAGATCAGTTCTTAATCCTCTTGAGGACATTCGAGAGTATGTGGGGGTTTGTACAATCTGTCTACGTGTATTTTTTGGACTTGTGGATTTCTGGTGGGTGTTGGACTCTCCCAGGATTCCCCTTTGTCGCTGATTCTGTTCATGGTAGAACAGGTACAGCCAGGTGGATTGTCATAAAGGTTCAGATTTTAGCTAAATAGGTTTTTAGTTCCATCATTTGGGAACTATTTTTACCAGCTCATAAATCTACATTTTGGTGCTGAAGTGCCATCCTCCTGATTGCTTGTTTTAAAAATACACACATGCAGGCTATGTAGAAAACTGTGCTGTGTTGTTCCTGGTGGCCAGGATGAGCTCACTCTACTTGAACCATGTTCCTTACTGATTGTAAAGAACAGGTAGGAGTGCAGAAGAGGACGAGATACCTGGGTAGCGATGTCACTTTGCCCCACTTCTCAATGCAGAAGCGCCGGAGGCCATTCGAACCTCGCAAGGCGGCAAAGCCTTCGTAGGGAACGCTGGATGTCCCCGTGACAAACTGCAGCAGACGGAGGCGTTGCTCATTGTTGAAGCGCTCCACTGCAGCCCAAAACCAGCGCATCACTATGTGGCCGTCATGGTAACCTAGCATGTGTGACATCACATTTAACTAAGGTTACACACATTGACCAACACAAAACAAGCAATGCATTTTACTGTGCCATTTTCTGTTATTCATTTGCAGTTAAAATAGTGGCAACCCATATTTGACTTAGTCCAAACTGCTCTAAAACTTGGTTTCACACAGGATTTTCTACTGTTGTACAGCTAATATACTCATTTCTGTGCTCACTGTGTAAGCACAGAAATCCCACACACCTGCTGTATTTTGTTTACGAGGGGCAGCCATTCTGCAGAAAGTTGGCTTAACGTGAGCCAATGTAACGTGAAGACTGGAGCTAAACCATCTTGATTCAGACAGAAGACAAACTCATAATAATCCTTAAAAGGGATTATTTTGGGAAGAGCCCCAGCATAAAGGTAGTAGTGCTAAAGAACAAAAATAATGAGCTGCAAATGTGCAAATATCAAGGAGTCAATATTTCTTTCTATTTTCTTTGTCTAACACACCTCCTCTATACTCGGTGTTGTTTCTCCAGTCACCGAGGTCAATCTCCACCGTCCCAGCAATGACCAGCTCCAGCTCCCGTGCATCGAATACCGACACAAGCCTGGAGTCCACCACCTGGAAAGGAAGGAACAAAAGGTTCAGTTCTTTGTGCTAACATTTATTTCCATGTGTGTATTATGATGCTTTGGAGGTTGCAGGCACTGGAAGTGAACAGTGTAAGCAAGCACTGACGAGTTGTTGAAAACCTTGTGTTGTTTACCTCGTAGAAGCCTCGGACCAGCGCCTCCGTCTGTTGCACCACTCCTCTCTCCACCCTCCACTTGGCCATTCGCTCTATATAATCCTTCTTGTTCTTCTCAGTGACTTGGAGGTTGGCGCCACCGGACTTTAGCTCACGCTCCGTTACCTGGCATCACAGTTAGAAGAGTAAAGAGGTAAATAACAGCAGTGTGGAATGTCAGTGACATTATAGCCTCGACGGGTGAAAAACAAAGAGGAAATGAGCAGGTGTTAAACTTTACTCCGCAACAAAATGTAAAACAAATCACATTTTAATTGGCTTTTGATGCTCTGATTAAAAAGTGTTCATCCATCTGCCGCGACTGGTGGTGGGTCAGTGACACACTCAGATGGACACACACACACACACACACACACACACACACACTGACCTGGCCAAACACCTCCTCGTTGACAGTGAAGGTTAGGTCGAGGATGTCGGTGATGTCGTTGTCTTTCATCCACTGTAGAGACTGATGAAACTCCTCATCCAGATACTCCAGATCAGACAGGTCCGTCGCCCTGAGACAGACGCAAAAGTCAAAGACTGACACACAACTGCCACGCTTCACTTGTTCCTCAAATGTTCATCACTAACACACATTAGCTGTAACTGTTTCAACTGAACATAAACCCGTGAAAACACATGAACAATGCTGCAGGTGTGTACGTGTGTGTACTGACAGTCTGAGCAGGGCCTTGTAGAACGGTCTAGTAAAGAAAGCGTCCAGCAGATACTGATGGATCAGAGCCAGGCCCAGGATGCGACCACTGAAACGGAACCTGGAGACACACAAACCCAACATTTGCTTCAGAATCACACACTGGCTTGGTGGTGTACTGTCACATTATGGAAAGAAGGGTCTAGATTGTAATCTCATGGTCGCCTGGGACCTTTCTATGTGGAGTTCGCAGGTTCTCCCTTTACCTAATGAGTTTTCACCAACAGTGCAGAGACATGTTAGCTGAATTAGTGTTTTTAAATTGGCTGACAGCAACTTTCTTTCACTGTTGTACTTAACTGATCACAATTTCAAGGCAACCCAAGTCTTTTAGGGGCACAAAGACAACCTTTGCTAATTGGACAGTACCTAATTATTTGGGAACAAAGTGGTTTCTGCAACCCTCACCAGATTTAGAGTAATGTCCAAAACACCAGGCCTTGAATATATTTGTATGGTTCCTCCTACTTTTATTTCCGTGTGCATGATGCTTATTTTTTGTCTCAGCATCCTGATTATCATGCACGACGCTCAGAGCAAGGATCAGCTAATAGAAAGATGCTGATGATGCCTGTGTTTTCATAAAAAGTGCATGTTGAACAAGACAACTATGGAAGGCGTTCACTGTTGAACGACCACAGGGAACGACAGGAACACAAAAGAACGAATGCTGCTCCTAAAGTTTATGTTAGGAGAAATCCTGCATCACATGTGAGGGAAATACTGAAAAATGGCGTCCTTAGGTAACATATAGCAGTGAGCCGAGGGCAGTCATGTCTTGGACTGAGACTTTCTTATTGTCTTCATTATGACAGGACAGCCCATTTGCCACGGCACTTTTAAACGCTTCTGCTGTGGACAGACGACTGTTTCTGAAGCATGCTTTAAGAACCTGTCTTATGTCAGTGACAGCTTTTCACATATTTCATTTCATGCTTGTTTGTTCACATTGTAAAATGTGTAAGGAACTGAAAGGTTATGGCATTCATTGTGTGTTCCCAGTCAAAACACTCATCTGTGGTCTGAATATATTTATAAAAGAGGCTTTTTATTATTTTCAATTCAATTCATTTTTTTTTATACAGCGCCAAATCACAACAACAGTTCCCTCAATGTGCTTCATATTATAAGTTAGACCCTACAATAATACATACAGAGAAAAACCCACCAATCATATGACCGCCTATGAGCAAGCACTTTGGTGACAGTGGGAAGGAAAAACTCCCTTTTAACCGGAAGAAACCGCCGACCGAACCAGGCTGAGGGAGGGGCGGGGCCATCTGCTGCGACCGGTTGGGGTGAGAGAAGGACGTGAGTATGCATCACACAGCTTACCATTCCAGATGGTTCTCAACAAACGCTGACATGGGGCTGATCTGCACGGTGTAGGTGTCATTGGCTGAGTATTCAAACAGGCCGTAGTATGGATTGAATAGCTCCTGAGACAAGAGGAAGAAGAACTCTCTGGAAGGACCGCTGTAATCTAACCTGAAGAGAGAAGATGCAACTTCAACTGACAATACAGGCTAATACTGGACTACTAAACGGTGTTTAAGTAGTCGACTGTGAACTAAATACGACTATTGATCGGATTTGTGCTGCACCTGAGTACAGGAGTGAATGTAAGCATTTCTGAAGACGCCAGTGCTGCCAGAGCTAAGCTGCCAGAAACTGAGAGGTCACTGAGCGTGTACCGCTGGCTCTTAATACCGCCATCACACGGGGCCTCTACCTTCATGCATGAAAACTCATTTTCTGCGCTGAGGAAGATTCTAACTGCGGTGCGTGCAGTCACGGTGTGAGCTTGTGGAGCACGTCCTTGGTACACTTTGTGGTCATGTTTCTAGATGACAGCACATACAGTATGGCCGCATTACGCATTCTAGTTTTCAGTGGATTCATCTAGTGATGCATTGTAGTTGTATGTGTGTAGTTGGCATGGATGAGCACATGTCCAGTGTTCAGTTAGTGTTTATACCACTCAGCTTCTTCCTCACACAGTTTGAGGCTTCTACAGTGTGTGACAGCAGTATTGTAGGCACTGCAGTGGTACGTCCACGGTCACCTGTTCGTGTTTATTTGTCTTACCCCTCCTCCCCAAGGAACGTGACATAGAGTTTATTCCTCTGCAGCTCTTTGCGTGAATATGCCATCACTTGGTTGAAGGTTCCTTCCAGTAGATGTTCTCTCCTGATGAGCAACCTACAACAAGCAGGACAGCTGAAACGCACCGATATACCCCAAAAAACCTCACCACTGTTTAAGCAATGCTGACACATTCATACAACATAAGTATCATTTCTAAAGGGGCGCTCTGTTTGATTACTGAACAACACATTTAAAAAAAGAGGACTTCACCACTCTCCTTTATAGCTACGACCATGTCTCCATGGAACAAATATGTCTTTGGACATATTTTAAAGTTGCATCAGGACCTATGCTGATACACGTGCAATGTAAATAAATACATATTATGTCTAATGGGCATCAAACTCTGCCAAAATAAAATGAGTTGCGCCATTTGGGTCTTACTTCGATTCAGTTTTATTCATATAATGCCAAAAGTTACCTCAAGGGTCTCAAACCTCGAGGTAAAGAACCCCAATAATAGACAGAAAACCCCAACAATCAAAGGACCCCCTATGAGCAAGCACTTGGCAACAGTGGGAAGGAAAAACTCTCACTTGATCTTTCCTGGCCCCTGGGCGTATCCTTTAGCTTCTAATTTCCTGTAGAAGTTTCGCAGTTTGGCTTCAAAGTCTCTGCGGTAAGGAGCTGGAGCCCTGGCCCTCTGCAAGCCTGCACACAGAACACAAGTTGCATTACTCTGCCAGTCAGTAAAACTGCAGTTACAGTTACACTCAGCCAGTTATGTGAAGGGAATCACCATGTAGTCCACCAAACAGTCTAACAACAGATTATGAAACCCTCTGAGGCAAAACCTTTTTCAAAGGAATGCCAAATAAAAATGACTTGAATGAAATGAACTGGTTTCTGCATACAAACATTTTTTCTATGTAAGTGTTTTCTATGTAACACTCACTCACATGTAGGTCTCCCAGATGGACAGCAACTTGGGGTTAATATCTTGCCCGAGGATATCTGGCATACAGACTGGAGCAGTCCGAAATCTAAACCATCAACCATCCAATTAGTAGAGTACCAGCTCTTCCTCCTGAGCTACAGCCACCACCGTTCTGCCACCCAGTTCTTCTGCATGTGTCACACTGAAAATATGTGCTTCTTGCACAAGTTGGGAAGTTGTTCTACCAACTTTGTTCAAAGTGGGAGGCAGGGTACAGCCTAGGCAGGTGGCCAGGCTGTCACGGGCCTATTGACTTTATTTCATATCTCACTGCTAAGAAACAGCAGTCACTAGTCTTATCAAGCTGTTAATCACTAGAATCCCCTTTACAGTAATAACTGCAGCACGGTAAACAGTCAGCTCTATTAGATATCATCCAGCTGCAAAAAAACAACCCACACTTGTTCCTCATCTTGTACACACTGTGTGATAACATCTGCTTATTCTTACTTGTAACACAGAAAAATTAAGCACACGTTTTTCTTGCTGAGGTTTGGGTTTTACTCTCCTGGTGGCCACTGGCTAACACCTGGCATTTATGGTGATATAGTGTTTCCCAGATTTTTCACTCTTCTTCTCTTTGCCTGTGTGAGTTTATTGCTAATCGGCTCTCGTTTTACTTCCTGTCTTGTCCTGAAGGATCGTTTCTGTGCTCACCTCCCTTTGTTCTTTTCATGCCTGCATTAGTGTCTGATTGAATTTACCTGTTCTCTTTGTTCTTTATTATTTAGTCTTTCCTTCTGCTGACTCACATTTTTTAAAAATGATTTAGTGTAAGTAAGTTCATTGGCTCTTCCTGTCACAGTGTGACGTGGTGTTTAATTAACTGTGAGGCTAATTATAGTTCCTTGTTTTTCTACCCATCTGCTGGCTCCTGCCTGCACATTAGTTGCTCTCATCTGTGACAGTCGAGGCTTTTGCCTTCATTCATTTCCCTCCTACTCCAATCTTGGTGCTAAAGTTATCAAATTATAGCAAAAAAATCCTTTCCAGCATTAAAGGATCAAACATGCTTCAAGGGTCAGTAAGAAGTAAGAGTAGGCAGCGACGGATAGTTCTAACGGTGAATGAGTGATATGAAACGGTTCAGTGCTCATCGTTTCAACAAAGACAACAGCACAACTAATGAATGAAACACATTTACAGACCAGGCTTCCCTGCTGTGACCTAGTTTCCTTTTATAGAGTCTCCCATCAAGAACACGCACACCCCAAATCAGGCTCACAAAAACACTGTTGAGGCCTGTTAGAAGTCTGCTGGAGCTCATTAAGATAAGATTAGAGCAGCATCGCATAGCACAGCAGGTTCTGTCATACAGTGTGTCTATTATGAGTTGTCACTGTGTGTGAGTGTCTATTGTGTGCACTGTGATGGGCTCAGATTTCATCACCTGCATATGTGATCAGCTTTTCTGTGTTTTTTGCACACATGGTTGCTTCAAACAGCAGGTACACACAAGCACACATCCATGAAAATACCCGACAGCAAACACCTCCTGCTGTGTGATACAGTCCAAGAATTCAGTTTTGTTGAATGAAATTTTATTCTTTAAATAGAATTTTTACTTAACACTACTTAGCGTGCATGCCTGTCTGCTAGCATTAGCTAACAACGTAGCACTCCTACTTCTTGTCCCAAAAAAGTGAAAGAAAGAAAAAGAGAAAGTTTTGATAAACAAACATTAATGTCGAGACTTCAAATGAGTCTAAAACCAATAACATCACAGTGGTTATGTCCATCTTTTATATACAGTCTACTGTATTATGGTCACCTGTTATTGGTGAATGCCACATGCATCCTGTTCCTCCATTTCTAGGCTGGAATGCTAAACCAGTAGCATATCACAGATCATACCAATGTAGGGACATAAATAGGTAGTTTCATGGTTACATGTTATATGTCTCAGTTACTATAATGTCAAGTGCTTCTTTTTCTTTCAGCTGCTTCCTTTAGGGGGCGCCGTCTCACCCTATCCCCAGCACCCTTCTCTGTTACACTAACCACATTCATGAATCTTATCTGTGTTCTAAGGCCCTAAGGCGCTCTCTTGACATCCGTAACTATACTTCATCATCAACACTGTCAAAGCAAACTTTAAATCTGTGGAGCTCTTTCTCAGCATGAAGCCATACTGCTGCTCACTCATCATCACCCCTCTTCTTAACTTAGCTTCACCAACTCTTTCCCACAGCTTCTTGGTACGGCTGATCAGCTTGATCCCTCTCTAGTTAGCACAGAGGGAAAGAACAGCTCTCTTAATTCTTGTTTCCTTTTCTTGCACCCTCCACCCTCTTTCCAATTCCACCTTCCGTGTAAGTAAAAGCCCATCACTTGTACTTCTTTTTCTCACTTCTTTGGGGGTTATAAATTTGAAATGAAATAAATGTCAAAAGAATATATTAAAACTAAACAAAACAACGACAATAGCACATGCTAGCATAATTGTGACACAGAGCCACTATAAAAGTTGCGGCTAGGAATTAATTAGTGAGAATTTGAAAGAGGAAGTCATTATAAAGGATGCAGCATCGTTAAAGGAATGGTAACAAGTCCTACCGGGAGAGTTCTGTGGCGACGAGGCGGGGGAACAGCGAGGAGAGAAGCTGAGGTTGTGATGGATGGGGTGAGGTGGAACACATGACATGATTTCCTCTTCAAATAAACTGCAAGAAACAGAGCAGAGAAGCAAAACTTTGATTAGTGGCGTGAAAGTAGACACTGGGTTTGAAGCTGAATCCACCTGAATCCAAGTTCTTCACCTTAACAGGATGACCAGGTCAGCATCACATGACAGCTTCTCCACTCCCTGATTTCCTTCAGTCCTGACGTAGTGGATCTTCTCCCTGAACAATCGAGAGGGAAACGAATTGGTTTGTAATTTGTCTCTTTAAAGATATCTCATCCCTCCCTCAGGTACGACCAGTCTGTCTGCTCCTGCTGCTGAGAGACAGCGTGATGCCACCACCTCCAACATCTCAGCAGCAGTCATGAGTCAGGCAGAGGGACTTATGAAGCATTGTTAAAAAACACCAAGACAGAGAGACCAATACACTGTGCTGATTATCTACTCATTTTAAGCTTTGTCCGGTTCAAAGTTATCGTTGCCTCTACTTGTCTCTTAATCGTATAAAACAAACCCTAACATGATTGTTAATGACGCTGGCATCAGGCGGATATTTTACGTGAGAAAGCGTACCTCAGTGCATGGTTCCTAGTCAGGCTGGGCTGTCGCTCCTGTAACAAGTCAAATATGTTTGGCTGTCGAAGAAATGCCACTATCTTGTCATTGTAAGCTGGTGAGAGAAGCAGTCAGACATAAACACGGTAAAAGAACGACTCATCAGTAAAAAATACAAACAATGTGCCGGTGATGGGCTTACATGGAGCGCTCAGCTGCTGTGAGTCAGCATAATGCTGACTTCGTATAGCAGCTACCAAGCTGTTTCCTGGCCTGGCCATCAGAGACGCCCCTCGACTCCTGGACACATCAGAGGCCTGAAACAAAAACAACATAAGACTGCTGTCCAAATATAATGAAAGATTTAGTCGTGGACATTTTTTATTTATCTCCTGATTAGACTCGACAAGGGAAGAAGGGCGCATATATATCCTACACTGAGCAGTGTGCCGTAACCGTGAGAAAAACAACCTTTATTGTCATTTCTGCTGCAGTGGTTTGTCATCCACGTTTCTGCTCTTGCACTCTTGACAGGGGCACCCACGCGGTTGTTATACTGATATACTCCAGGTACCAAAATATGTTTTTCCCAGAGCTAATTTTTACAGTTTTATATGTGAAAAAGTTTCTGGTTTTTAAGTTAATTATGCACATATGTTAATTACCATTTTGTTAGAGTCCAAATTGAAAATAAAACCAGATTCAGTGAAGTATTTTGAGGTGAGTGCCCCCAAATCTCAATAATACTGTATCAATGACTTCTGAACCTTTAATTTCAAAGATTGAATCCTTGTTTAGGAATGTGTCACGGTCCTTTGGCCTCGTGTTTCATGTTTTTGGCTGTATTTGAAGTCTCAGTTTGTCTCAGTACTCTGCTGTGACGCGCTGCTGTGCTGCCATGTTTTCCCTGATGTTTTTTGGACTGTCATTAAAGGTGAGCCTTTCATTCATTCCACCTGTGAGTCAGCATTCTGCCCTTATTCAGCCTCACATGTATATTGCACAAAGAGCAGAAGCTGTCAAAATAAACATATTACATTGTAAGGCTTTACAACTGGCTCTTTAAAGAGCACTGCGTTCATTCTCTGCCAAATATAAATGTTTTAATATCTTACCCAACCCGTCCAGCACAGTGGAAAGATAGAGGGCCAAATGTCATGTGATATTTCACTACAAGCTATAATAAGCAACAGCGCCTTGGCCAAACTAATCCACGGATGGAGACCCCACTTAAAATTTGGTTTGATGCAGTCAGAGAAAAACAAAATAAGGAACACTGATAAGCAGTGCATTGATACAGTGCTCTACTTTGAATTATTTCTTATTCAAGCTTTATTCCCAACAAAACAGATTGCTAGTCCTTCAGTAAAGACTAAGGGGCTTTGATCTGGAAAAATTGGAAAAGGAGGTGAATTTCCTCTTATGACTGGAAACATGAGGAAAATTCACTAATAGGTGGAAAAGCCCATCCACTCAGTTTTGGAGGCAGTTTGGATGGAGAAGCTATTCAAATAACGATGGCGTTGGACGTCTAGTTGTGGAATAAAATGTTTCAGGACATGACCACTACTCCAGCGATTCTTGTTTAAGTTAAAAACAGACATGACTCTTTTGTCTTTTCAGACTCTTGTCGCGCGGCAAGGTCTGCGGTGACGCTGCAGGTGACGCACCTGAGCAGCATCCGCAATCACGCCTCGCTGGCTTAAAAGTCTGTGTCTGTCTAATGTGGTTGTTGTTCATGTGTTCGGCGGCTGACCTGAAAAGCTGCAGCCGAGCCGTGTGATTGTGCACAGCGACCGCGTGCGGAAAGAGTAAATAAAGAAAAGCAAAAAGTGTGGTAGGGTCGTCATCTGTGTCACATTGGTGCCAAAACCCCGGAGGCGGCATGGTGGAACCGTGACCGGGCCAGCCAGGGGAGGAGCTGGCCCAAATGCTGCCACCCAGCAGGATCGAGCAGGGCGTGCTGCTAATTGAGAATCTGATCCGGTCCTGTCCGACACCGCTGCCATTTTCTGAGTATTTGTAAACCGACAGATGCAGATGGGTTAGAGTACCTCCCCGGCGCTGTAGCTGCGTAGTCTCTGCAGGTGCTGTTTGTGGGCGAGGTGGCCAGGCAGCCGGCCATTCTGCAGAGGTATCCGAGGGTCGATGAAGGTCGTGGCTCGGCTGTTGTGATCTACAAAGAAAGACTAAGAGACAGACAAAAAAGGACTGAAGCAAACATGTTGATTGATAACAGAAAACACACTCATATTCTTTGCTGTTGTTAATCATTCAAAATGAGAGGTTCCAACTGTTAATGGCAGCACCAGCATAAAATAAATAAATCAAACTTGAACATTTGCATTAAATACACAAAGGTAATCTGGAGAGCACTGAGCTGGTTCAGTGTAGTCACATAATGGAAAACGAGAATTATTGTAACGTGTGCAATGGATCTGTGATCTTGTTGACTATCAAATAGTTGCATCAAAGAAGAGGACCAGGTTGGCGAGCACTCAGTCAGTTGATGTCTTCAAAGCTGTTTCGGTGTGTCAGAGAAGTCAAACAGATAAATCTGCTACTATATTGAATTTAAATGGGGTCATGCTGGCAACTATATGCAGTCTGAAAACCTGTTTCTGTCTAAATACATAGAAATTCCCATGAGCCCTTACTTACTGTTCATATTTCATGCCTTAACAGTGCGGTCCAGGTCAACTTTGACCAGGGCCAAGAGTTTCGTCAAAATAAGTGTCTTTATCAAATTTTCTACTATTGAAATATTTAGAAAGTGTACATTTCTTATTTGGCATTAATAAATGGATCAGTAATGCTCATTTAAAAAGAAAAGAACACCCTAGAACTGTTGGGATTCATTAAATATCCACGTAAGTATAACAACTGTTAAATGCCATCCTCGGTCTATATCGTAAAATAAATTCACATAACCACCATGTGGTGGAAACAGACAGTGCTTATGAAGGTCCTCTCAGCTCCATGACGTATCGCTTCACCAACATTTCCAAGCACAAGGACTTGCTGACTATCAGGCGCTGACATTTGCTGAAAGGGCATTCATGTGGGCGAGTTGTCCTACCTTGCCCTGGGGGTCTGTTTTGATTTCCCAACCCCTTGGCAGCTCCAGCTGACTATCTGCAAACTTGTTGAGGAAGACCACAAGGTCCCTGTTATGTTGGTAGCGCTCAAAGTTTCTGGCATCACGGCGCACCTTCAGGATCATGTGCTTTACACAGCTGCTGCTGGTGAACATCCGGTACGCTGCCTATAGTCACAAATTATAGTCACCAAAAATTATCGAGCGTGGGACTCTTAATAAACCCATTAAACGACTTAATACTACAGTATTTCACCCTGGATAAGAACAGTACTGTGACAGCAAGATATCCACATCAGTGAAAAAGCCCAACAAAGGGCTCCTGGTTCAATAAACATATAATATGTGCTTGTACGTATCTTTTTGTATGTTTATACTCACATAGTTGCTGTGCAACACAGTAAAAAATTCTGGGTGTGTGATGAACTTGACAGCAGGAGACTGGAGGAGATGGCTGATCTTCTGTTGATTGACAGGGGAGGCGGGGCCTGCAAACAGGCAACAGGCCATTTAGGAAGCTTATATAATGAAATCTTTACTATTTATTACTGTTTTGTAAACCAACCCATGCAGTTTGATGTACATTAAAGTGCAACTGCTACAGTTTTTTTTCATCATTTAAGACAATCAGGTAATTTCAGCATCCCAACTATACAAGAGCGAATTATAAACCATGTTCATGTAAAATATTAGAGGGTTTACAGGAATATGATTGCTAGTGTGTCAGATGGAGGCGGAGGACAAGCTGAATAGGTGGTATTTTCAAACTGTTGCTAACACAACATGATTTTTGACTGTGATGTCATGTACTCTGTGCCAGTGCATACATATAGCATCAGTCCACAACATTTAAAGCATTGCTTTAGAAAACAGAACCTGCAGTAACACATACACATAGGCAGGACCTTCACAATTACACAACATAACCCAGCACACATCAGGACACTTGTCTTTCATGCGTAATGACGGTGGTATTAAAAGGCGCAGGCCGTGTGAGTGTAAAGCATGAGAGGGCTCAGTGCTGTACCTGTCTGAGTGGAGTCAGGATCAGTTTCAGTACTGCTGCTCCGCTCAGTCCTCTGACTCCCTCCACTCTCTTCTGTGGCCATAGTCCTCTGTATGTTCTGGTACCTGCATAATAAACGACAGCCAGGAATCTGAGAACCTTTCAAAAGTGTCCATTTCTGTCTCATGTCACATCATATTTACTACTTCATGTTTTCGATCCCTTTTCCAGACACCAGATGTCACCCTGACTCCACATTAGTTTATCTTACTGCACAGGCTCAGACTATTGAGTGCTACCTCACCTTTCTGTTCAAACTGGTGGTGTGGCTGCAATTTGTAGTTTACATAGATAGTTTCAGCTACACTATATTTCCACTTCTAATTTGTACATTATTATATTTTTATTACAAATATTTTAGATATATCTGACTAATGTACTTACAAAATAAAGATCTGACACAGAAAAACACATTTACTTCTGTCAAAAATGTTTATAAACTATGTTTATAAATTATGACATGGATAAAGACTAAAAATCCAATTGATTAAGAAATGTATGTATTCTGGTCATTTTAATCGAATTACTATAAAGTACATTTCATTGAGAAGATACCAAGTGTCTCTTCTCTTCCACACTTCATTCATAATCCTTCCATGTTTTATGGAAGTAAAGCAAACATAGTTACTGGCAGGACGAAGGTCCATTATAACCTGCGACCCACATTCACTGATCTCTGTGCTAGCCCACACCAGCTGATCACTCAAGTGATCCACTTCCCTCCCTTTTCTCTTCATACACTAACTGTGCATCTGCAAGCCTCTTTGCAACCGTCTGGACTCCAGATCCTCCATCCATGCTAACTTAATAATGAGGCATTCTTACTGCTTGCTGCATAGCAGGCGGAGGTACCAGAGCAATACCAATGAATATAAATCACTGCAGTTAAGAAATGTATCTTATTTTGACGGGTCTAGACAGAACTGCTGCAGTCTTACACTTGGAGTTTTCTCTGCGTGTTCCTATTCTGACCTTCTGTTGAGCTGCTCCATCTGATGTGTGGACCCTGAGCGAGGTATGCCATGGTTACATTTGGTAGCATGGCTCGGCCTCTGCCAGGTTGTGGTCCGGTTGACATGGTCCACGTAGAAAACTCTGCCATGGCTGTCAATCCGAGCTTCCCAGTCTGTGGTGACAGAGGGCAGTTTATTACATAAAGTTATTGGCGGAAGCACAGCTCCAGTGTCCACACATGAAGCAATTCACAGTGACAGGGCGACCAGGCACCATAGAAAGCCAATGGCATTCTGCGACTTCAAGCAACGGCAGGCAAAATAACTGCTGGCAAAGCAAAGAGGGCAGATCTTGAGCTGAATTTCAACACAAGTGATTGAAGTGACTGCCAGAGAGAGCAAAGGATACTGTTGATTGACATATGATATGGTGATAAATATGTCAGCGTGTTACCTAGGCAACCAGACTGGAAATGTCTTCTAGTGACAAAAAAAACAAAGAAGTAACAGAAATCCAGCTGCCTTGTTTACTTATTTTTGCAGGTTTAATTTAATAAACTACAGCTACAGTTTGAAATGTACATGCATTCATGGATGCCAAACTTTGGCTGCTAATTTTAGGGCACACTAATTTTGATAATTAGTGTGACCTGCTCTCTTTTCAAAGCTCAATAATTGTACCAAGCACATTCTTAAGAATATGTTACACAAATTCAAATTTATTTTTGATATTTTGAGATAAACAGAATGGCGTTATCAAAGCCAAGGTCATAAAATGTAATCATTAGTTAGCAACAATTACCATGCTTGTGACCATAATTGACAACAGCTGGTACCTTCTACTCTACAACAGCTAAAAGGTGTGTTTGAGGGCACTTGTAGGACTGACAAGCACACAGTAAAGGAAAACATAGCAGAAACTCTGTGCAGTTCTGGGATGGAGTGCTGGAGATTTAAACAAGCCAGCAGTGTCTCTCAAAGAAATTTTAAGAACTGCAGATTCCAAAATCATCCGAGCTAACAGGTATACAAGTTACTGGGAGGTGCAGCAACTTCAGAGAACCAAATGGTCAGAAACAACCAGGAAACCGCCATGACACAGGAACGAAACTGCCTGAACAACCAGTGTCATGGAAACAAAGATATTATTATCATTATTGATGGAGATGGTTCCGGTAAGAAACCTTACATCCAAATACAGCACACTGACAATTTCAACAAAACCTCCAGCTGACCACATAGACAAAGGAAAATCCTTCTGGAAGACATTTTTAATCTATGATGAGATTAAAAGTATTTCGGGGTCTTGTTCACAAGTGACTGGAGAAGGGAGCGGGAGGTCAACAGACGGAATGGTGCTGCGGCTGCAGTGATGCAGACGCTGCACCGGTCTGTTGTGGTGAAGAGAGTGCTGAGTGTAAAAGCGAAGCTCTCAATTTACCGGTCGATCTACGCCCCTCCCCTCACTTATGGTCACGAGCTGTGGGTAGTGAGTGAAAGAACGAGATGGCGGATCGGCAGAAGTTAGCTTCCTCCGAAGGGTGGGTGGCCTCTCCCTTAGAGATAGGGCGAGAAATTCAGCCATCCAGGAGGGGCTCAGAGTAAAGCCACTGCTCCTCCACATCGAATGGAGGCAGTTGAGGTGGTTCGGGCATCTGACAAGGATTCCTCCTGGGTGAGTGTTCCGGGCATGTCCCACCAGGAGGAGGCCCCGGGGCAGACCCAGGACACGCTGGACAGATTACATCTCTCGGCTGGCCTGTGAACGCCTTGGTGTTCCCCCAACAAGCTGGAGGAGGTGGCCAGAGGGAGGTCTGGGCTTCTCTGCTTAGTCTACTGACCCCGCGACCTGGCCCAGATAGGCGGAAGAAGATGGATGGATGGATGGATGGATGGATGGATGGATGAGACAAATGTTGAGTGCTTTAGTTGCCAGAGGTTTGTTTGGAGGAGTAAAGGTAAGGCTTTCAATCCTAAGAAAACTGCCAGCTGGTGCAATAAATATAAAATGAATCAAACCAAAAAAAAAACATTCAAAGAAATAAGCCAAACCCTTGACAGCAATGTCTAAGATGAGTAAGGTGTAATGGTGTGAGGTCCTTTCTGACATGACAAATGACAGATGATGAGATAGCAAATGTCTTCAGTTTGTTATATATAAATATTAAATGCTATTACCACATAGTCCTAACTATATCGAAGGCAAACTTTATTAAGCACTCAGTAGTACTTTTAGGACTACAAGAAACTACTACTACCCAACTTCTAGTCCATATTACCTGAAAGATGATTCCCTTAAAACCAAACACATGTAGAGAAGAGGTTCAGTTCTGAGTGAGGCTTTGGAGTAAACACCAGCTATTAGAATCAACCTGTCAATCAAAGCTGTCATACCTCAAAGTCTTAACAACATTCAAATGAATGAGTTAAAAAAAACACAGCTTGTAGGAAGAGGAACGCTCGATATATAGATTTTGGTATTTTGTAAGAACCATGTTTATTTTTGCTTTAAAAGTGGGCATTTTAACACAGGTTTATGTGGACTCACTTGCCTTTGAAGCCAACCTTAAGTGGCAATTACAGAAACTGCATCTTTGGGCAGTTCTAGGTTTGCTTCATTTTTTTTTGCCCTGGAGGCTGCTGCTTGTTGTTAAATGTAGCTATTCGGTCGTTAAGTGATGACGTGACGAATCCTACTTCCGGGCCTAAAGTAGTCTGCGTTTAATGTGGCTTTTGTGTTGTTAACATGTTTAATGTTTTGTATTTTCTTCTATTTGATCTCAAAAAGCTCCTAAAACAGTCAGTGATCACTGTTGACCTCCCTCGGCTTTTATTACCGCTAATCATTTATTTAAGCTCAGTTTTTAACACCTTAGGATGTAACTACAGCCCAGCACATGCAGCAGTATATGAACGACTAACCTCGTATTGTGGATGGATTATCTCAGTTGTTCTCCTGGCTGAAGTTTGGTCCTTTTACAGCATCCTGCCATGCGATTACATTTGTTCCTGACCACCGAGAACACTCACGTTAACTTTTAACTGTAGCTCAGATGGCAGAGCAGGTCAGCCACTAATCAGAAGGTCGGTGGTTCGATCCCAGGCTGCATCCTGGCTGCATGCCAAATATCCTTGGGCAAGATACTAACCCCATGTTTGCCTACTGGTGGTGGTCAGAGGGCCCGGTGGCGCCTGTGTCCGGCAGCCTCGCCTCTGTCAGTGCGCCCCAGGGCAGCTGTGGCTATAATGTAGCTTGCTATCGCCAGTGTGTGAATGTGTGTGTGAATGGGTGAATGACTGAATGTAGTGTAAAGCGCTTTGGGGTCCTATGGACTAGATAAGCGCTATACAAATGCAGGCCATTTACCATTACCATTTTATCGAGTGGAAAAAAAGTTAGCTTGTTTATATTATGCTAACATAGCTGTGTCGCTAGCGGTCACGTAGCACATCATTATATACCAGCTAGCCAAACTTCAGTAACCCTACAAACGTCACTGCTGTTTAGTTTTCTGTCTTCATTTATGCTGGAAGTGATAACAGAGCTGTACGTTTTAATTTGTTTCCAAAACCCCGCAGTCAGGACATGCTATGTTGTATTTAGATAGAAGCTAGCGAGCTAACTCCCTGCTAACTTCTAACTCCGTTAAATGTCATAAATTCCGTTTTCATGGATGCCTGGATGTTAAACTCAATTGTTACACCTGGTAGAGCAGAACGCTGATCATTTTATTAAAGATGAAAGACTTTAGACAGTTTTTCAACTCTCAGTAATGCCACAGTGACCGTTTGATATATGGACCTGCAGCGGAGTTTAGACCCAGACACAGCTAGTGACGTCAGACTTAACGCCCGGATAGACAGCAGTATCAGTCTTGTAGTGCCACATCCGGGATTTGTTTAGCCCTTTAATAGCGATAATGTGAACGTGTCGGACTAGTACCACTGCAGCTTTCCTCAGCTCTGTCTAACTGCTTTGGGAGGAAGATGAAGAATGCTCCCAAAGGACGAAAAACCCCTGTGTTGTTTTTCATGACTGCTCTGCCTGCCCACGCGCACAAACACTCTTGAGCAGCCTTTATTAGCTGTCCTGACTGTGTTTAGGGAATTAGTATCTCTAATCTAGGTAACAGTCTTGTTCTATTCTGGGCTCTAGGTGGTCTGGATCAGATTTTAGTGATCGAATAATGTCACTCACCTGTTCTCTTCAAAAGAAAAGATATATTATAAACATAGTACTTGACTGTATGTGTTGTAAGACCACTACATCCAGCCTGTCTGCAGAAAGCTTCTTGAATCCACATACTAAACATCAAGAAGGAATTAATATTGAAACTAGAGTGTGGCTTTTATGAATTACAAAATGAAATACTTTTAACTCATGGTCATATCTGATTTTCAAAGATAAAAGATTCTGTGAGCTCTGTGAGCAGTGCACAGATGAGCAGGACGTCATGACAACTGATTGGAAGTCAAGTGTGGTCCAAAAAGAGTCTACAGCACTGGAAAAACCAATGGCGCAAATTGCAAATTTGACATTATTATAGTCCTCAGGAAAACATTCCCAAACAATCCTTATTACTAATTACTCCTCACATTTTTTGTAGGCTTTCAGTTCACTCCATATTTACATGCTGGTTTTTTCTGGCTTGTAGGGATATTTATCAGACCAAGCAGAATGGATGGATGAATGAAACAAAAAAGGTTTGTGATGCTGTAAGCACAAAAACATTACAATTGGAAAAAACTCAGCAGCAGTTTCTCTTTTACAAATACAGTACTTTTACAGTACTGTGTGAGAAAAATGGTGCTTGCAGGGGAAACAGTGATTGGGGACTCTCAGTGATGATGTAACGGCTCGGTTGAGTTTAGGCTTTCTGACAGCCTATCAGTATAGGCCAGCGAGCCATCCAACAATCGTACTCAGAGTAAATCTCCAACCATGTACCATGAAGCAGAGAGCAGTATGAAGCTGTATGTTCAAAGCTCGATGAGTACGTAAGGAGAAACGAGACAATGATAAGAAACACAGAGGAGAAGGAATGTATTTGGAAAGCAAATAAATGTGGCGGCATGCACACACAGCACAAACACTCAGAGTGTTAGCATGAGACTCCAGAGTAAGACTGGGAGCTGTTGGTTCTTACTTGGAGGTAAGGCTTGGTCAGTGGCAGCAGGAAAATGGTTTAGGTCATGGCTGGGTCGCAGGACTGGAAGATGGCCAACAGGAGGGGAGAAGCTTGAGCCTACAGGACATTAGAGAAACAGCACGGGGTGAATTACCATAGGGCCAAGGATATTCTGTACCAACTATAAGACTGGGAATAAACTGGACTTTGCCCACATAGATGTGGAATCCCCATGTGTTGTTAGTTAGATATGTGAACACTGAGGCTGTAGACAGACATGCCCAATGTTTCATATATAGATGTCATAGAGTTAATGACATGTAATGTTAGCATATATTTGGCTAATGCTACTGTAACTGTTTATCAAATCAATAAGGTTAAAGAAAAATCAGTGAAAGCTGAAATACCAATGTGTCAGTTTACCAATGAAAGGTTAAAAAAGAATATTCATTCTCAACAATTTTAATAACAAATTCATTTTGTTTTCGAATCAGAACATTTCCTGTTGTTAAATTTGAGAACCTGATACTTGTCTTTATCTTGCTAGTTTTACATTAGCTTAATATACAGTTGGGGTCATAAAGGTGCTTATACTGATGAGCATGAATGTCATGTTTATTTTGGGTTTTAATAATAGGAAGGTGAAATGACTGTGCAGCATAGGTCTTTAGCAACTCAAGAATTGGGTGTAAATAAATCTGTACAAGTTGCATCTCAAAACAAGCTCCTGGCATAATTCTCACTGGATATTTGACCATTCGTCTTGGCAGAATTGATACTGTTTATTTAAATTGGTTTCTTGCCTGGCATGAACTGAGCACAAATTTTCAAATGTTATGAGGATTGGTCAGTAAATGCTGTCAAATAAATCCTTTTGCTGGCAAAGAGAAACTATCAACAGTGTCCCAAATTACCATGACATTCATGTTGCAGTTATGTCAACTTCTGAGATTATAATCTAAATCATTTTTATTTATAATGAAATTGGTAGACAAGAGTATCTAAAAAATGAAAATATTTCTTGGAACATCTTTCATGCCCTGCAGACACATAAACAAATCATGCCCATCTGCCAACCACATTCCTTTAATCTCTTTTTGAACTACTCTACCACCAGCACCAATAACAAGAGCTAGAAGTTAGTCTTTCAGCTAATTGCCCCACCAACAATAAATGCTGTCTCCATTTACATATATATATAGTTACTATTACTTGCAGACTGTTTTGAAATAGTCTCTAACAGCTTTTCCATCAGCTAGTAAAATGGTAAAATGGTGAGTGAGTATGTGGTCTGGATGAAGGAAAATGTGTGTTAATGCGAAGTGCAAACAGACATAGCATGCTTTGAGATGGGATTGTGATAGGATTAGCTGGAGTCAGCCTGAGGGAAATGTAATCCATAAAATGCTATCACATTAATGAGCAAGCTTTCCTTCCACTAAAAAAGAAACATTGATCACCAAGGAGAAGCACTGATGCTCAGGCATCAAATGTCTTTAACATGAGTACACACTGGCTGTACATACATTGCAAAACACAGAAACATCACTGTTGAGGTAGGACTGTGACGGAAGGCCATGATATGCATCACTGTGTGTAACTCGTTAATTGAGATTTGCCACATTAATGCAGTTATGGCGTTAACGTCACTTTAACGAGATTAACGCTGACAGCACTAATATATATATTAAAAAAGAGAGGTGAGATGATTTAAGGCTTCAGTGCTTGGGCTTTAGGGTGGAGATGGCCAATGTCTATCATTACCTCTTGTAAAATATAGTTGGAAGGCAAAGCTGGACGGATCACCTTTGCCTTAAAGGTTCTCATAGGCTGAGATTATAGAAAGCTCCAATTACAGGCTATAAAGTTTCTATAGTGGAAAAGCAGATTTTAATAATAAAACTAGTCTAAAGTTCCAAAAGCACACAAGTTAAAGTAAACCAGGAGAATCCGAAACAACATTCTGGCACCTTCAATTAATAAGTAATCAAATCGAGCAGTTCAGTAAAGACAGAGGAACATTTCTTCCTGCTGATGTTCATGCTGGTAGATGGCAGTAAAGTTTTAATCATGGAAATTCACCACAGAGGTGACTAGCATTACAGAAGTGAGTGAGCACATATGAAGTAATGTTTATAATTGCTTCAAAAATCTCAACAAATACCACAAAACACAAACTTTTTGTGCAGTTTGGAACACAATATGCTTGGGAGTTAAAGGTACAGAGGCTGGATTTCCCAGAAGTTAAAGTGTGCCAAGGACAGTAATCAGTGATCAGATGTAAGAGAGAGAGAACGAGGAGAAAGATTAGAAATTTTCAAAGTTAAGGACTGGCATAGTTAAAATTGTTTTTCAAATCTTTAAAAATATGAAAAAACAAATTTAAGTAATATAATTTTGTTATTGAAAGGTTAAATGAGAATACATGACAGTTTAATGTAGTTTATTGCCAGTTAAAAGCATTAGTTTGAAGTGTGGTAATAAAGTTAACAGTAATGTACTACAATGGACTTGTCAAAGCAGCCTGTGGTGCTCATGGTCAATGTTAAATCAAGGGTAGCAGACATAAATTTGAATTCAAGCTGATCTGTCTGCTTAAATGTTATAGAATTCAGTTACACCCACAAAGACCAGCAAACCTAAGAGCAGCAGCACAGTTCAGCTTATCCCCATATGTAAGGAAAATACCTAAATCTGCTGGAGCTTACAAAGCAGATTTTATGTCTTATTTCAAAGTTGTTGTTTTCCCGCCATTCTGTACTGCTGCACTGGATATTAGTGTTCCTCCACCTGCCAAATTCCATTTTAACCCCTGTATAGGCTTGCAGTGTTCCTCTCCATCACATCCAGTTTCAAAATATCAACATGGCCTTACAATAACATGGCATCACAAACTACCAGGGGATACTACAGTGGCGACTTCAATCTTTTATGTGGTCCTATGGTTCAATGACCCAACAATCCATGATGGGGACCTTGCAGGTAAAACTAACATTGGCCCTGCATGGGCTAAACCGCAAAAGGGTAAAACTGCTGTGGGAGCCACATGGGCTAGCCTACAAGGGGTCCACATGGTTTTTGAAGCTGGACTGCCTCCAATTGGGGCCAAAACGGGATACCTGTGGGTTTGCTTTGCCCACACAGCCCCACAGTTCACCCACAGATAGCTGCTGTGGACGCGCAGGGGCATGATTGTTGTGGATGTGGTTATTCTAAAAGTGAGATAGAAAGTAAGAGCCTGTGAATGACACATGGTTCATTTACTCACCTGCCTGTCCTTTTCCAAAGAGTTACCAAGGACAACTGTCCAGATGGTTCGGGGTAACAAACCATCTGTTATAACAGGTAAGCAGTCCAACACACACCCACAAGGCCAACACAAACTTGGTCCAAGAATAAATGGCAAATGGACTTATGTTTAAATATTGCTTGTCTGCCCAATTTAAGCACTCAAATCACAAATACTACAGCCTCATTCATCCAGTCACACACACAATGAATGCTCTATCCTAAGCTGCCCGACACATTGGCATGCAGACCGAAGGAGCTAGGGATCAAACCTTATGATTAGCTAGTTACAGTCACTCTAATAGAGGCAACCGAGGAAACTCCACTCTTGTCACAGCACTACTCATTCACTTTCTTGTTTATTTGGTCTTCTGCTCAGTTTCCATCATGCTAGCGGAGGCTGAACACCCACACACAAAATCTTCCCATATATGTTTTTGTAGATCATTCACACAAACTCGACACAGCACCCACACTTGACAGAAATTCAGATCTGGATGGAGAAACCCATGGTTTCATCAAGCTCTGAAAATTGCATAAATAACCAAGTACTGGTCCAAGTCTTAAAAACCCAAACACACTTAAAGGTTTCCCATAATCACACAACCAAATTAAATATCAGAGAAGTGATAAAAGCAGATTCAAGCCAAGAGCATTCAAATCCAAAATGGGGGGAAAAACAATCTTTGTGTGCAAGAATATAATCGTAACAAGCAGGAAGAAGAAAACTAGACAGCTATCAAACTCTGCAGAGGGTTTGAAAACATTTTAGTAAAAGGAAGTCTTACAGGGTTCTGCAAAACTGTGTGTGTATCCAGCTTTCACTCTCTACAGGCAACGTCATGTAAAAAATACAAATATACAAAAATGACCAACACAGTAAAAAAAATCCAGTCAAACACAGTCAATCAGTTTATACTTAAATATATACGTTTACAGCTTATACTTAAATAATTTGTCACTTCAGAATTTTCCTTTCTGAGGAAGTAAAGTGAGGGCCATTAACAAGCAGAGCCTGAATCTCCCAGAAGGTAAACAGAAGCCTTCGGTGAAAACCTGGTAGATAAAAAGTTACATTAAATTGGCTAAAACGAATATTAGTAGGAACATGTATTCATTTGGGCTTCACTTGAACATTGAGGCACCGCTCCATGAAAACAACCCCCCCAATGACAGCTAAGACCCCCAGAAGAACAATGCTTCATGAACATGACACGGCTGAACCTAAGCTGCTGAGCTGACTGAACCTCTGCACACGAGCCTGAGACAATCCACAGAGATCCATCTCAACACTCACAGATCTCAAATGATTCTCTCCATCATTCCACACGCTCAACAGGACATCCCCTGGATTTCCACTTCCCCATATGTCAGAGCTTTTTTGGAGCCATGGGAGGGACCCACACACCAGTGTTAGAACAGCTAAAAGTCATCGTACTGACTAAAGAAGGAGAAGAAACATAAAAAACATCCAGTTGAGTGTCTTGGAAATTAATCATTGTGGGTTCAATTTCATTCTAGAAATGGCCAAACAACAAAAAAGAAAGTCAATTTTCTCCTCATGCCAGACAATGAGACAAGAAAGCTTTAGAGAAGCGTGAGCTAGCGTATTTGTCTCTATAAGAATAGGCCAACATAGTAGGCATTGGGGGGAAAGCTTCACTTTATATATGGCCGGTAAGGTAACTTCCTGCGAAGCTGAATGTGTTGCTTGCCTAGTGTTCTAGTCTAATTTGAAAGCTGGAGGTGAAAGAGTTATTCTGAGACAATCTCACCGATGCTGTTCTGATCACTGGGCCCCGCCACAGCTGGATCCCCCTGCTCTCCGCTCCTGGTCTCCTTCCATCTGCCCGTCCTCCTCTCTGCCCCGCCCTGCTCTTCTCCGTCAGGGCCGTGATTTCCATCAGGTACTGACTCAAAGGCGCTCTCCTCATCTTCCTCTTCCTGGGAGGAGAACACAGTGCTGCTGGAGAGCCGGTTACTCTCCACCGAAGACAGGCGGGTGTGGCTGCAAAACCGCCCCCTCCCCTCATAGCCGGAGTTGCTGTAGCATGATGTGCTGTAACAGGAGGTGCTGTAGCACGAGGTGCTGTAGCAGGAGGTGTCACAAAACTCGCACTCGCTTTCACCTGGAGCTCTGTGGGCGCTGCCGCCAGCCCTCCTTCCTCCTCCATTGCTGGAATCCCCCTCCTCGCTTTCTGGACAGGAAGGGGAGATCCTCCTGACTGCTGTGTGGCCTCCTCCAAATCCTTCACCTTCCAGAAGTTGATTCAGCTCAGAGAGGCGCTCAATGGAGAGGCTGCGGGGCAGCGAGCGCCGACAGCAGGGGCCCGGACACCCCAGAACCTGCACGAGTTTAAAGACACAGATCTTTTATTACTCTTCAGCAGAGGTGAATCAGAGTGAATGAGTGGGTTAGCCCTTCAGTATGTTAAGTGCAGAATGAGAACAGGATTTATGCTGCCACAGCTTTCTAAAATAAATCAAAATCTTTATTTATAAGGCCCTGCTTGGACAAATGCCCACCTACATTTGCGATCTGCTCACACGGAGAAGTACTGTTTCTTACAGCCTGCGTTCAAGCGATCTTTTATTGCTCAATGTTCCATTTGCCAGAACTGAACTGGGAAAGAGGGCTTTTACTTATGCTGCCCCTTTCACATGGAACATGATGCAAAAAGACTGGAAGATAGCAGATCTTATTTCATTAAATGCTTTTAAGTCCAGATTGAGAGAGCCAGAGAAAAATGTTTTTAAAATGTAATTGTTATTTATAATATGTATGTAACTTTGTAATTTCAACGTGTTGTCGCCCCTTGGCCAGGACTCCCTTGCAAAAGAGGTTTTTAATCTCAATGGGACTTTTCCTGGTTAAATAAAGGTTAATAATAATAAATAATAATAAAATCATGCATCGTGTGAGCAATCCCAGCACATCAGCTGATCTCAGTGCTACCGGGCAATTCCCTGTCTCATAAACAGCACGCTATTCAAATTCAGTTGGAACAATTTAATTTGGATCATTTTGGTTTATAGCTAACACTAAACCAAAGAGACAGTATGAGCACAGAAGATCGAGAAAAGCTAGCTTACATGCTATATGTGCTAAACAGGTGTACTGCCAACACTTCTTGGGGGAACTCCAGCTTAAGAAGCTCCACTGCATACACCACATAGTAAGAATGACTCCACAACATCTTCTGTTTGTTAACAAGTGTCTAACCAGCCCATTACTGCCCCTACCTGAGAGGGTGACTGTGATGTATCCTCTTCTTCATCATCCTCCTGCCCCTCCTGCTCTTTGGAGGTTTTATGTGTTGGTGATGTGCTGTTTGTCTCCACAGTGCTGTCTGTATTCACTCCTTCCCCACTTTGCTCTTCCTCCTGGCTGGGCGGTCTGTGCTGGGCCGAGGGAAGACTGTGAAGGAGGTGGTGAATCCGGATGTAGTGGGATCGTGGCGTCTCAGGCTCGCCACAGGCCGAGGCAATCACCGTCTCCAGCTCTGACACCGGGAGGGAGCAGGGGCGGGTTTTACGGCGTGAATGAGCATTGGAGTTGTAGTTCGACAAGAGAGACTGGCAGGAGCAGGGGGCACAGCTTCTTTCCCCTCCCTCTCCAACCTCCTGCGGGGCCCCTTCAGCTGGGCCTACAGGAGCCTCCTGGGGTGCAGTGTTTTCCTCGGGGGGAGCCTCCACAGCAGTGGCCTCATCGAGAGTCATTTCTGCTACGGCACAGTCAGAGTGTGGCTCTGACTGTGCTTCATCCACAGCCTCTCTTCCTTCTGCTGTAACCTCCTCCTCGGCTTGGGCTGCAGTCTCCTCTCCCTGCTCCACATCTCCTTTCTCCTGCTGCCCCTCCTCTCCTCCCTCCTGCTGCTGCTCACCAGATTCTCCCTCCGCCTGCTCCACCTGAGGCTCAGGAGTCAAGGGTTCCTCTCTCACCGTGGTCTCCTCTTCCACACTTCCTTGCTCCTCCTGTGACGTCGCTTCACCCTGCTCCTTCTCAGCGGGTTGGACCTCCTTGGGTGCGGAGGCTGCTTCAGGTAAAGTCTCAGGGTCAGGAGGAGCATCCAAGGGAAGATCAGGCATGTCAGGGCCCACGCTCAGTGTGTCATCATCGAGAGCATCAGCAGCATGGTTGACATCTGCTGCGTGTCCACCCTCAGGACAGGCCGCCTCTATGACTAAGGAAACCTCCTCATCGTCTAAGAAAGAAAGGTACACGCTTTCATCACTGTTTCATAAGTTTCATTTTCAAGTTGCTGCCTTCAAACTGAGCTTTGTCTTCAGTGTGCAGTGACTTAAGTGAAATCACAAATTTTTCAGAGAAATACTGGGTGTGTGGCCTCTGATACAGAGCAAAGATTTACCTGCTAATTAGAGACTAAACTTTGAGCTGCTGGTGCCTTTTGCAGTATTTTTTACTGAATCATCTGACAAATAACACGACAGACCGTGCGGTACAGCTAATGTTCTTTAACTTCCTAGAACCTGGCGTCCACATATGTGAACATCACATTTTGGGTTATTTAGACCAAAATACACAATTTTGCTCTACAAGGGCCTGATATGCACTTATGAGGACATTATACTGCTACTGTTCTATCGAACTGTTTTAAACGAATATCCTCATCTGGTAATTGTTTGTTTTTATATTCATCAGGACCCAATCAGCCCAAATATCAAAGAGAAATTAAAAATGCATGCCTGTAACTGAAGTGTCACCACACAGTGCAAAAGTTGCTATAGTACGGTTAAACATCATTTAGTTAGCCAACAGTGGAACATTTGATGGATGTTACTTTAACATTAACCGCCGGTATAAGTTCCATTTGAAGGCAGCAACTGGGTACAATGGTTGTGCCATTACATTAGTAGCAGTTTAAAATCTTATATTATAAAATGTATTATGGAGATAAAATAAATCTTGCAGCATATCCAAGTCCTTTTCAGTCTCTTACATAATCTACAGCTACTAATTCAAGGTGAACTGTCCATACTACTACATGGCATTAAGCCTGGTGTACCTGGGTGAATGGAGGAGGTCAGCTCAAAGCGGAACTGCAGCTGGCCACAGACATGATCTGTAGGCAACCTGCGACCTAAGGAATAACTTACTACTCGATCCCTGGGGACAACACAGAGACAGGCGACAGTTAGAAAGGGTATGTAAATGAGAGAGAAGGGAGAAACTCGGTAAAAACATACAGTAAAAAAAAAGTAAAAATAACATAGTAGCTAAAATCAGACTGTTACATGGCTTTTAAAGCAGCTATAACCACCCACATCATTTACCTCACAGACAGCCTGTGTGGGCCAGTTTATGTAGGAGAACTTTTACAGCTCTACAGATTGAACCATTGAGCACAAGCAAACCCCTGAGCTGATGACAGCCATGCTGCATTTATTTAAACAGGGAAAATCCTCATAAATGTGTTTTACCCGATGGCATGTTTTTCCAGCAGTCTCTGGACCGGGACCGAGAGCTTCCCCAGGAAACGCTTGATGATTGGTCTGCTCTTGGCAAACTTATCCTTCACCTCAATCTCCAGGACATCAGTGGGTAGGGATACAAAGTTAAACCTCTGGAGAAACAACAGAGGACAGAGCAATTTCTTGTTGGATGTGTGATATGTAACACAGGCAATCATTTACAGCATTCAGCATTTAAAGCACTAACAGGAATTACTATAAAAAAGGAAAAAAAGCAGGCAAAAAACTTGATCATCCAAATTTGGCAAACAAGAATATATTATTAAATGAGATGTCCATATTCTGTAGACTGACTTGGGTCTGAGTGTTGAATCTAAACCAGCACCGTTTTGTGCTTAAATGTGTCAATTCTTGAATTCTTTGCTCGCACTTACTCAAACTGCCCTAATCCATACACCTAAAACCAACACATATCTGGCAACCCTTGAAGAGACCAGACCAGAGTCAGTGCCAGCACATCAATCCTCATGACTCACCAAGATAACTGTGAAAACTTGTTGGGTTTTTATATTTGCTATTCAAACATAGCATGAGTAAATGGAGTGCCTGCAGAATGAAGGGTATGAGCAGAACACCAACAACCGTATACGTACCCCCAACGTATATCATTTATGCATGTGACACAACAGCAACAACTTCATTATTTATTTATAAAATACAAACTGCGTTCTGCCACATTTCACACAGGCGAGACTGATTCAAACTAAAGTCACTTTGCATTTGTAATTAAATATTATAGTTATTGGAATTAAGCAATACAATCATCTTTATGGTTGCACAACTACTATACTAAGAAACTATGATTACATTTTGATATTGTTAGAATAAACTAATGAATGAAATGAACTAACAGTGGTAATAAAGTGTTTCTACTTGTATGCTATTTTAAGTTCTCCCCAGGTTACTAAAAACGACTTATCTCAAATGAATACTGGAGACGTGATTGTTAGAGTTCAAATTTCTGCAAATATGTGGGAGGGTTAAAGTGCTCCCTCTTCAGCAGATAATCATTAAAAGAAACTCTGCACATACAGTAAGGCTCTGGAATCACAACCATGTAACTCGTCCTGGATTAAAACATTTCCTGGTAGCTTAGCGTGCCTAATTTGGGGTTTATTTTTCTTCCTCAGTGTTATTTGTACTTTATTTATTTGAGAGAATCCAATTCCCCATCTTTCTCTTTTGGGGTTCTGATGACTGTCCAAGCTTCTTATACACTGCTTGGAGAGTCCAAATCCTCCAAAGCTTTTTATTCACTCTTACCAAGATAGATTTTAGAGGGAAATACTGATTGCAGCTTAAAGCTCTTTGAGACAAGCTTCAGAATTTCTGGCACCAAAAACGTTAAATGCTTAAATTAGTACTGGCACAAACCTGTTAGTTGGTTTTTATCAAAGAACAAAACAACAACAACAAACCCATGATGGGACTTCCCTTCTGCATTTATACATTTTATTCAAATGTCAATACAAAGACCTCTTTTCCTTGTCTCTGTCTTCACCTGCATTTCAGAGTTCTTGTAAATCCTGTCTTATGTCCGCGTCTTCATTTAAGGTTAACACTCCTTGAAATTATTATGATGGGGAAGTAATGGGCATCAACAGGCACATTAAAACCACCAGCCTAATATTGTCCTGAGGCTTTGCCCTGTTGGGGAATGCACATAGGACCTCTGGGTGATCACAGTGGTGTCTGGCACTGGGGCTTTATCATTTGGATGCTGTGGAATGGGGCATCAGCCTTGTTCTGATGATATACTTCATCAGGATCTGGGTGTTTTGAAGATGAGGCAGATGATCTTTGTTGAGTCCCTCAAGCAATTCATAAGCAGTTATTGCAGTGTGGAAAGTGCATTGTGTACCTAGGGCCTGTCATTGCAAAGAGAATGGTCTTAGTCTAATACTAAGGAATTAGGGCTGGGCTATATCACACTGTTCACGGTAATACTGGTATAATGTTGGGCAACGACAAGAAAATGAAATATCGCAATAGAATATGGGTAAAACACGCATGCGCACTGCCTTTGTTTTCATATGCACATGGTGGAAAAAGCATGGCGGCGACGCAGAATGAGAAGGGCGAAAGCGGATCGTTGAATGAAACAGATGAACCAGAACTGGTTAGTAAAAATGCTGCAGCTTCAGTGGTGTGGAACTGGTTTAGCTTTCGTCCCTCAGATACACAACAAAGCACTATTTTTGGTAGCGCAGGCTAGCGGGCCGTCGTTATTACCGTGTTTTTTGGAAAATACGGCACACTTAAAATCAATCCTTTGATTTTTCTGACCATCGACAGAGCCCCTTATAATCCCGTGTGCCTTATGTATGAACTCTGGTTGTGTTTACTGACCTCGAAACTATTTTATGTGCACGGCGCTCGAAAATCTGTCAAATGTTTTAGTACGACTTTGCTGAGCTACGAAGCCGCACCGCTTGATGGCTTGTCGGAGCATTACGGCTATCGTAGGCAGGAGCCTCGCGGAGTGATACATACTGTGTATTCTGCTCCTCGGTTGTTACTTTGTTGGGTTTCTTTAGCTGGCGCATTTCTCAGGTTTCCCAATAGTGGGCAGTATTACCCCTTCAGTTTGTGGCTTCTTCTTTGGTTATTTGGTGTGCACTACACTGCCCCCTTTGGTGATGTGTTGTAAACAGCAGGCAAAGTTCACACAGGCAGTGTGAGAAAATGCATGGAGCAGAAAACAAGCTGCACAACTTTAAGCTCAGTTTACATCGTTGGGGAGTTTGTTGAGCCATAATCTGTAAGTAAGCAATGTCTAACTTCACTTTCTGTAAGATTTGTTACTTTCATGTTACTTAAAAGGTTATTTGAACGTATAAGGAAAGATGTTAGTGATGAATGTAAAGTAGGGCTGAACGATTATGGAAAATAATCTAATTGCGATTTTTTGCCCCAATATTGCGATTGCGATGCGATATGCAATTATTTTTTAAGGTCTTTGTGTTCTGTATTATTAAACAAAGACAAGCAATACATCATATAGTATGGCCAATACTATATTACATTAATTTTAAACTGTTCTTTCCTGGAAGACAGACCTCTGTTATGATGACATGAGGTGATGCATAAATTGATGACTGACATTTTTATTTAACTTCTTCAATCACAACAGTATATTTGAACATACACAATAGTTTATTTTTAGCTTACAAACATCTGAGCATAAAGTGCTGACAAGGAACCCTGGTGTAAACATTAAAATGAAAGTCAGTACAATGTGCAGATTGCAGAAATATACATAAAAAAAATCAGTGGCTTTACCACACTGTTTTTCGACATCTGTGAACTACTAGACAGTCATTCAATTAAAAAATAATATTAAATAAATAAAACTAATAAATAAAAAATACACACATCTTACTGATCTCTGCAGTCAGTAACATTACACATAAAGTGCAAACATAATAGCAATTGTATAAACACACACACACAAACACGCCTTTAAAGTTTAAAGGCGTGAAATTGGACGGTCTAGCCTTCTGATTAGCGTCACCGCTGTCTCGGTGGAGTTTATTAAACTCGGCCGTCTGCTTCTTGCTATCTAAAATACAACCAGACACTGGTGTAAATTCTCGACTGTCTCATACTTCTGTTTAATAAGTTTTCTGTTTGACGTTTAGTCAGCTGTGTGAAAACCAAGGAGGAACCCACCCGGGGGATTAATAAAGTTTTATTTTATCTAATCTAATAACTTTAATCTCAGCCAAACCGATTTACTCACGAACAAACAAAACACTGAAAAAAGCCCAACAATAACATTTTTAGGTTGTCTAAGTGACTTATATATTACGTTTAACCCGAGCAGCGAAACTCCGCGGTGATCTGAAAATGATGTGCCGGGAGTTGTGCCGTTCTCGGCCGCATCAGTAACCCTTGAGCTCCCGGCTAGCTGTCGAGCTGGTGGGTAGCAGACGCCTCTGAAAACGTCGAAGCACTTTTGCAAATATGGGATATCTTGATAAACCGAGCAGATATTTGATGTTTACACAACTACTTTCTCGCCTGAAAATATGTTAAAAGTTTATTTTGTGACCCAGAAAGATTAGTATGAGTAATTTTAAAACTTAGTAGCGGCCGCCATTGCTGGAAACTGGAGTTTGGCTGGGCCGCGCTATGAATTCTGGGATATGGTAGTAATTTGGACAGCCTTCGGCGCGTCGCTGTGACGTAATCGGTCTACAAATGCGGCCTCAGGAGGATGCAGCCCATGAATTTGGACATGTCCAGAGTATAATCGCAGCCTTTGCGGTTAGAAAATTGCACTTGATCATGTCGCGATATTATCGCAAATGCGATATATCGTTCAGCCCTAATGTAAAGCATAAGGAAAGCTATGTTGCTAACTTCTGTTTTGTTTACAAAATATGTTGATACTGATGCTTACGTATTATTTTACTGTATGTTCACAGTCTTACAAATTAAAAGAGGAAAAAACGGTCCGTTAAAGACACAAAGACAAAGCGATGTGTCCTGTCGTTCCTGGAACCATCTCCTCTTATGTTAAGCTCGCTGCATAGGGTGAATAGCCATACATTCACCTGAGGGCAGCAGAGTAAGAAGATTATCTACCTATCAAGCACCCAAGATGTCTCAGCCTGAGGCGTCACCGCCTCTCTCCCAGATGGTGGTCCGGTCAGAGTGCCACTCACGCTCTTCACGTCGTTCATCGGCCAGTCAAGCTGCAGCCCGAGCCAGAGCAGAAGCAGAAGCCGCCCGCACTAGAGCACAGTACGCCAAACGCCAGATCGACATGGAGGTTGAGAAGGCACGCATCGAGGCAACACTAAACGCTCTAAAGAAGGAGGGTGAGGCTGAAGCAGCGCTCGCCGCAGCTCATGTCCTGGAAGCGGCAGCCGATGAGGAGCATGACGCCGTTGACCTCACAGAACAAGGAGTCTCCTCTAAAACACCTCCTTCCATCAGACGCGCTCAAGATTATGTGAACGCTCACTTCGCTAACCGCAGCTTGGTAGTTAATGAAGACGGAAAGCCTGATACAGGACAACTGGTTGGTAATAACAACGCTCAGCATCTACAACAGAGTCAACCACCAGTTGCCTCCTCTCCAGGT